AAGAGCCTTCTCAGCTCTAAATTTTCTAATTCTGTACTCTGATAATTAGTTTCCTTAGGGCTCCCTTTATGTCACGATTCCTCAGGCTGTAGATGAAAGGATTGACCAAGGGTGTCACCACTGTGAAAATGACTGTGGCCACTGTGTCCTGTACTGAGTAGGAGGATGAAGGGTGCATATAGACCCCCAGGAGTGCCCCATAGAAGAGGGAGACCACAGTGAGGTGGGATCCACAAGTAGACAGAGCTTTCCTTATTCCATGGGCAGATGGCAACTTCAATACATTAGAGAAGATGTAAGCATATGAAACAATGATACATGTAAATGGTGTTAGAAAGATCAGTCCACCCACAGTGAATACCATTAGGTCATTGATAAGGGTATCAGTGCAAGAGAGCTTTAGAATGGGGTAAGGGTCACAGAAAAAGTGGTGCACAACGTTGGAGCAAAACGTGAGTTGGACCATGAGGAGAGTGTGTAGGAGAGCATGCAGATTTGTAATGATCCATGATATGGCCACCAGAAAGACACAGAGCTTGGGCCTCATGATCATGCTATAGTGGAGTGGGGAATAGATGGCTACATAACGGTCATAGGCCATCACACTCAGGAGAAAACCATCCATGTTGGCGAAAGTGGTGACGAAGTAGATCTGGATCATACATTCCACACAAGAGATAGACTCACTGCCCAACATGTGATTCACCAGCATCTTGGGGATTGTGACTGATGAAAAGCAGATGTCGACACAGGAGAGGTTAGCTAAGAAGAAATACATGGGCGTATGGAGATGACTGTCACAGCTGATGGCCAAGATGATGAGAAAGTTGCCAATGATGGTGACCAGGTACATCCACATGAACAGCCCAAAAAGAATCTCTTCCTGTTCTGGCTGCCCAGAGAGTCCCACGAGAAGGAATTCTGTGACTCTAGTCTTGTTGTTTCTGCCCATATCTGTAAGGAGAAAATGTCATCACAGGGTAAGAGTATATGCCAACATTTGAGAAAATTTTATATTTTGGAAGTGTTTACTCATTGGTTGAGAATTAGCTAAAACTGAATAATCTTACTAAGTTTTACAGAAAAAGCCTGGACAATTTCAATAGGGCTAATTACCAGTGGCTACAGTTTTATTTATTCTTCTCCTATTTACTAAGTGCCATATATACGTACTTTCATATACAGTATTTAACTTAATTAAGGTATTACATTTTACTTTACAGATGAAGAAACCGAGACTCAGGGTGGTTAGGTGATGTGCCCAAATGCACAGAGCCAGTGAAAGTTAGAGTTCCAAACTAGCTGAAGTGCTTTTTTCTTTATGCTATATCACCTCACTAGTTACATCACTTGATTTTGATCAACTGTCATTTATTGAAAAAGCATGTGACAGACCCTGTACTAAGAGCCATACTAAAAGTCTGCAGATTTTATCTATGGCTTCTATGTTTCCCCAGAATTTGAAAAATTTGAGAGCTTTTATAGACCTGCCTGGTGGTTTGTCCTCAATGTTTTAGCAGCCATTAAGGATATACTTGCAGTAAATCATGGCTGTTAGCTCAGTGTTGAGGCTGTTGTGCACAGCATTCGTCCTTCTTTCTAGAAGTCAGAAGGAGACAGTCAGGTGTTGTAACTGGATTGCATTTGGTATTGGACTAAAGGGATTTACTGACTGATAAAGAGGACATGCACATGGTATATCCAGTAGACTCATAGTCTATAGGGTTGCTATGAGTCAGAATCGACTCGATGGCAACGGGTTTTTTTTTTTTTTTTTTT